ATTTGAACGCATCGGACAGTATCCTCCGTAGTTTTTCTCTTTTTCCTGTGATGCTTATTACTGTGTCGTTTGTAATTTTAAGTTTGACTAACTTTATAAAAAATAGTAACAACATCTATGACATAAAAGATCCCACCAATTTGAACAGTCCCAGTTGGAAAACCGGGACTAGAGAGGATTTCTCAACCGGGATTGCACCTCAGTCCTGCACTAGTGATGTGGGGTCTGTTTGACCAAACGACTTTTGGTTTTCTCGTAGCCCGTAACCGACAACAACTTTTCCATAGATCATAACTCGCAATAATTTTTCGAGAAGCCATAGCTCAGCCCTAACTCAAATTTGAAAGTTGGAACTAAAATCCTTGTTCACATAATGCGGCCTCTCCAATGCCGCACACGCTCGTACAAGTTATCAGAACGATGGTTTTATAATTGATCTAGTAGCTAGCTTTTACTAGTAGCTAGCTTTTACCTGAAGCTTCAAGCAACTCATAATAATAAGAATATAAAGATAAAGATATCGTCTTTTACTAAGCGCTGAAGCTTTTAGAAGCTCGTCTTTCTTGAATCTAGAGCATCTTCGAGAGTTCCCTAAATATTTTTCTAATCCTTGTTTTTAGAAAGATAGGGAAAACCCCTCTCCAACAATTTATAATATTTACTTCTAATATTTTAGAACTGGAAAAATTAATCCCCTTTTCGCGTAACTTTACGCGCTGCTCCTGTCGCGCGTATCCGTCCAACTACTCGTCCGAAGACGAAGGCGTCGGCAACCAGGCCGTGGACGCCGACGCGGAGGAGTTCATCCGCCGCTTCTACGACTAGCTCTGTCGCCAGAACACCGTCGCGCTGCTCCCCTACTACATGCAGCAGGAATCCATCGCCGCCGCGTGATCGCGCCGGCCAACCGGCTGCTGGACCCTTTTGCAGCATGCCGCTGGCCATGTGATCGCTCGGGGTCGGAGATGATCGTGATCATCAACCACACGTCACGTACGCACGTACGGTGCCTTGGTTGGATGGGTTCCTTTGCTTCGCACGTTGCTTCGAGGACGACGAGACCCCAGCGGCTGCCGTCGCCGCTGACGAAGAGCAGAGCGAGCATCTCATGTCGCCGTCGCCAATCGCAGGGGTTCGTCGCCCCCGATGCCGGGCTTCCTCGCCAACACCGGCATGGAGATCCGCTTCGTGCCCACCTTTGAGCCAATAGCGGCCATGAACCAGCGTTGAGATGATGTGGGCCTCAAATTTGATTTTTTAGATGACATTTATTAAAAACTTTTGGAGATGACTATCTTTTTACCTTCTAATATCTTTTTAGGAGTTGCCAAATTATAAGTTTTTAGGAGAAAAAATTAGAGAACTCTGAAGATGCTCTTATAAATAAAAAAGAAACTCAAACTAGACATCTCGCAATATTTTAACTAAGGGGATTGGTTATTAATTCTGGCAAAAAAAAAAAGAAGGAAGAAAAATTAAAAAAATGTCGGAAACTCAATGCCTGCCCTATTAAGCAACAACAGGAAATCTTAAAACTGAACGTACCTTTCAATGCTAGCTCTTCATGCACCTATCAAACATGGCATTTGGTGCAGCAGAGATAGCTCATATTATCTTGCACCATGAATCAAGATCAGATCGAGGACCAGCACAGGTTACTTATCTGGCATTATTACCGGATGACTTAATTTTCACCACAAATAATATAATATATAATCCTGTTGTCAATATATATATATATATATATATATATATATATATATATATATATATATATATATATATATATATATATATAATCCAGTAATCCTCTATACTACTAGTGGCTCCCTGATGTGGATTACTGGATTATATTGTATATATATATATATATATAAAGCCACCAGTAGTATAGAAACAGAATCTATAAAATTCCTGATAAACCTCAGTACCTAACACATCTTGGATTCTGTTGGAGAGAGGCCACCAGACAAGTGACCAGATGCATGCACCGGCCCGGCCCACCCGGTGAATTTCCGGCAGCGGATAGAGGCGGACGACGTGGGCGTCACAAAATATCAGCGCCTACTGTCCGCTGTTGACCTGGTAAGGCTCCCAGCCAGGAGAAAGATACGGTGGTGTCCAGAAGAAAGATCCACATTTGGTGGACCGAAACACCCCTGCCCCGGGCCCAGCAGCGGCCCAGTGGGTGCGATCCGCCGCCCACTTGGCCTGATATTTTCGCGATGGGAACAGGGAGAAAATGAAATGAACAGACCGACGGCGACACCTTGTCTGCTTGACTTGTCCAAGCTGAAATATGTAGTCTGGGGGGAGAGGTCTTCTTAGTTCTTACTTTCAGGTTCTAAATTATAAGTTGTTGTTCCGGTTTTGTTACACAGCTTTTATTTTATATTCAGAAAAAAAGCATTTATAATTTAGAATGGAGATAGTAGTTATTAAACGTACCGTCTAGATACGCGTTCTGCAACCGAGCGGTGCAGTAGTGAAGCTGTGGTACGAGAAATCGGACTCCCTGTCCATTCTCGTGGTGAAAAGAATTATCGATGTCGAGAGGTGTTTGGTGGGAATTTTTTATTCTTGTGGTGGGCCGGTGGAGAATCCAATTTTGATCGGTTCCAAACTGGACCAAAGTCATTTCCCCTCTCTCTTTACATGCCAAGGAGACATGAAGAGGAGAGAGAGGGGTCTTTATGAATAGCTAGCGGCTAGCATATAAGAGTAACTTGATGTTTATACTTGTTTAGTGTGCCATCACTTCCCTCTCCTCTAATAGTTTGTATTTCTTTCTCTCTCTTTTTCCTCCTTTTGCTCTGTGACATAGATTAGCTTTGAGCAGTACCTAAAAGCTAGAACACTGGAGACGCCGTATTTTTTTTATACTAGTTCTTGTTAAAGTGGATGTGACATGTACACCAGCCTTAAAGGTACATGATAGTTCTAACTATTAGCGGTGTTAAGGAAAAATTGCAGGAGAGAACGAGCGCATGGTTTGTTTGATTAGTTAGAGCTAAAAATTAGATGTGCCTAGTTAAATACCTAGCTAAAAATTAGCTAGCTAACAATTAGTCCTATGTATCTAAATATGCTCTGAGAGAGGTGGAAATTTTGAAAACCCACGCTGTAACCGTTTAAATTTATTTAATTAACTCCATATTTTTTAGTCTAATTAAGATTCAAATAAGACGGCTTATCAATGCATTCTCAATCCAATCCAGACTCTCTAGTTACCTCTAAGATTTTTTTGGAGTTGGAGCTTTGCCAAGCAAACCTTGTTTGCTAGCGCTTCTCAACATCGATTCGCCACAAAAAAAATTCAACAAGCACATGATGCTAACTACCTCCAAGCGTGGATCACAACAATCTTGTTTCTATTTTTTGAGACCATATGTTAGTACTATGACACTCACAACCATATGTTTTGTGTACAAGTTGCATTCAATTCAAATTTACAAAAGTTGATAGGTGTGTTGGGGTAAGCTTGTGGTTTGCCACTTGGCCTACAAGTTCGGGTCCTGATTTTTTTTTCTTCGGATGAACAGGAAGAATGAAATGAAATTGACAGGGACACCTTTCTGCTTGACTTGTCAGCCTAAAACTTGTGGATTGGTGAAATAGGTTGAAAGAGGCCATTTTAGGTGAGGATGCGTTTGCTTGTGTGGCTCTACTAAAAGGACGCGATGAGCATAAGCTTGAGGTGCAAACATGAAAACCCCAGTGATTTGCTCGTGGCTTGTATGATTCTTATCTTGTGTTGGATGTGCGGCACTCTATTAAGGGTTTGACGTGTGATGCCAATTAGCGCATGAACCTCCAAGGAGTAAATCGCCATAACGAGGACTAGCTTGCCGACAAGTAAGTGAACCTCGAAAAAAAATCATTGTGTCATCTTTTGATTCTGAGGTGATTGGTCTTCATTGGTATTTATTCTTGTAATTAATTGGCTCCTTCCTTGACACGACGGTATAATTATCTTGCTCACTCTCTTTATATTACCGCAAACTAGTTGTCAAACTCTTTAGTGTAGCTAGTTGTGAGAGTTTATTAGTTTGGTTAGTGTGGCTCTTTAGTTAGCATTTGAGAGCGCACTAACTTAGTGTAGTGACATAGCTATTGTGTGGATAGAAACTATATAAATTAGAATTGTGGTAGGTGACATGCATTTTTAGTAAGCTAGCGCAACACTTGCTTCGCCTCATAATTATCTAACCAGTTTGCTAAACGTTGTTGTAGAAATTTTTAATAGGCTATTCACCCCTCTAACCATTAGGACCTTTCACAAACCCTCCTGTTTTATAAAAAAATGTCAATATGTTAACAAAGAAGGCAGTATATATATAATACATCGAACAACACTCATAAATCATGGCAAATTTATATTTGATTCAAAATCACCAAAAATCAACAGATGTTGAATATATATAAGGTTTTAGTTTGCAGGTAAGCTTTGGAATCCAGCCGAATACACCAAGGCAAATCTTTACATTTTTGTAATAGTGGCGGCAAAATGTTGCTACTGTGTAGAGTTAATCTTCCATGGCTCTGTTCACTTCTCTTATAATCCGTCTTTTTCAGATTGTTTTTTTCAGCCGGAATAGTATTTTTCTCTCACAATAAATCAAACGGAACAGTGTTTCGGTTTGTTTTTTCAGCGAAACGAACGGGGCCATATCAATTTGCAATCTAGAACTATACAATGTGCAACTTACTGAACTCAGAGCATATGTTTTTTTTTTAAGTAACATAGGTAAAATCACATCGCACCATACTCCCTACTAATAAAGGATAAAAAAAAAAGAGAAACAAAGGCAAGGGTGTTTCCGGAAAAGACAAATAGTGTCGCCACTCGCCACAGGGCGCTCCATCAGAGCGACCGCCGGTATAAACGCAGCCCCCTCCGGCCTCCACCAAGATCACCATTGCTCAGGTTGCTCCCAGCTCCCATCCGCTCCCCCTCGTGGAGTACGAGGTACGAGAAAGAGAGCGACTTTCCTCCAAGAATGGCGGGTGGCGGCGCCGACGACGACGACGTGGTGGAGGTGAGCTGCGGCGGCAGAGGCGGCGCCGACGACGACGACGTGGTGGAGGTGAGCTGCGGCGGCAGAGGCGGCGGCGACCCCGGCGCGTACGCCGCGATGCTCAAGAGGAAGCTCGACCTGTACTGCGCCGCCGTCGCGAAATCCATGGTGTGATTTCTCCTCCTCGTTCAAAGATTAGAGTTTTCTAGGCCTATTTGAGTATTGGTTGTGTGCTTCGATGTTTCAGTTTCACCTCTAGCTTGATTTCGAGTCACAATGGTAGAAATTGCAAGCTCTAGCATTTCAGTTATTTTCTCCTTTATTCTGGGTTGGGGAGTTTTACAGCAATTTCTAGTTTTTGGAAAATCACAAGCAGAAGAAGAAAAAGTCGGTTGCTTCATTTGAGGAGTTGGGAAATCTTGAATTGGTTGGTCCGCATGCTTGTCGTGTAATCCTACACTACCATTGATAAGCCGTTGGCCACATAAAAATTTCACAGTAGCTTTTATCACTCACCAACAGATACAAAGAAAAAAATTCCCCTGCCTTTGAGAAACATTAGAAGACACGGCAGACGGCACTGTGCACACCCATTTTTCTTATGGCTTGTGATGAGCAATATGATCAAGATCAGAGCAGTGCCATTGTCATTGTCATTGTCATTGTAGTACTGTGCAACGGCAAAATGCAAATGTTCACACTTTACATGGGTACCGTATCAGATATTGCTTTCTGATCTGATGCAAGGGTAATGGAGGAGTCCTGGAGTGGTGAAACTGACATGTAGGATAGTAGATTTGGTCCATGTGCCATCTAGGAAGACAGGCTCACTTCCACATGTACACCACATGGTGTACATGTGGAATATTCTGATGGAATGATATTGACCACAAATGATTTGAATGAGTCTGACGTGTCGGAGGTTGAGCCAATAGGATTTTCTCCTTTTTGTTTCTATGTTTTTTTCCTGGCTGAAAGCGACAGGAAACAAAACAAGGTATTGATTTGAATAAATAGAACTGCAAATTCACCGTATTTAGCCATTTATCCGTTAGTATCAGATGAGTTATTGAATTGATGAACATGTTCGTAGTTTATGATTTGCGGATTTCCCTTTCTTTCAGGTAAAAATACCATATTTCACTGAATGTTGGCAGTTTTGCTATGGCTATTTTTTCAATACTCTGTTACAGTGCTCTGAACTAGCGAGGTTAAGAATATCTAGGTTTTTACAGGTGGCATGTCCAAAGATGGTTATATGAAAATGAATTTGCACATCGATTTTCCAAGTTAATTATTGATTAATTAGTACCACAAGTTAGTTGAGCAGTTAGTTTTTCCATAAGTACCTCATTTTATTTCGATACTGTAAAAAAGCATTATGCATGGTGGCTCTCAGTTACACCATAAATAACGCATTTGTTTCCCATTTTCTTAAATATTTAAAGGTTGGACTTGGCACAACCATGATATTGACCATTGCATCCAATGGTTCCACAAAACTTCAAGCTATGTATATTTTTCCTTATATTATGTGGGTAAGGATGTGCAGTACTAGTGGCTTTCCAGAGCTTAACAGTGACAGAAACCTCGCGTACTGGCTGCACCCAGCCCTTTGCCCCTTTGTTGCAGTAATGTTTATGTAAGTCCATTTCAGGAAGCTAAATCACAAGAATCTTCGTTGGGCTACCCCCAACTCACAAGCTTCAGATACTTCGCAATTGATTTCTCAAGCTTCCTTTGATGGTATTTATGACCTCTCATAATTGAGTGCTTGTCAGTCTATGAACCAACTTGGGTAAACATGCAGGCAGGAAGATTCCAAAGGAAGTAGTGCCTTAGGATAACAGGATGTGGTCTGATTTAAAAGCATGTTAGATGCCAAATCCTATTGAGCTCACCATCTCCCAGCTGATCATTCCAATAGGACATTAGATGCAAATTTCACTTATCCTAGTACACTTGATTACCAGCCTTGGTTTGAGTACTGTGAAGTGTGAACCATTCACTAGAGGTTAGTCTTCTGTGATAATTACATACAGAAGATCCGATCTCACGAGCAGTTTCAGTAGGATAGGTTAACTGATGCCCAAGGAGGAGGTGAGTAGAAATGTCAATTCTGGGTTATCTTTGTGGTTTGGTTGAGGTTGATGTGTCCCATTGATAATTCTGGAAGAATGATCTAAACTATGAGCAAAGTTGGTGAGATCAGATATAAGGCTGAAAAATGAAGTCTGATCCTGCTTCAGTTATACTGAACAGTCACATCAACTCTGTTGATGAGCTGCACTGGTAATGCAACTCTGTTGGCACCAGTTTTGCATACTGGCAGTGTGAAGATATGCTGCATGTGTACTGTTTTCGTATCTTTAATTCTACACATAGGTGACATAGATGGGGCAGGCCTAGTTACAAACTCTAATGTCATAGAAGATGATGATTTTCAAGGCAAGCCAGCCAACAGTGGTATATCAAAGGAATTGTCAGACGATGATGGTGACCTTGAAGAGACTACTGACCCTGCTAACGCCAATAAGATGAGGAGGTAACATAGATTGTTGCATTACAACATTTTCTTGATGAGAAATATGGACTCTGCTAAATAGAAACCATTACTTGATTTTGTTGTGAGTGAAAGATAGATTTATCTTGTTAGAAGGTAGCATACTTCAGTTTTCCCGTCCCCTCCTACCATTCACTGCCTTTAAAGAAAGAAAGAATCCAATCACATAAAGCTCTATCCAATTGTCCATGCCCTTAAAGAACTTTGAACTTTCAAAATTGTTACATTCCTAGAAAAAATTGGTAATTCAGTCTGAAGTTACAGGATCAGAAATCACATATACCTTTTGCCATTAGTTTCCTTTTGCGACAAATCGGTAGCCTTTATCTTGAATCTACATGAAACATGATATGTAACGTCAGAAGCTTAACACACCATTTCTGTGATGAACTGCTCAGTTAAATTTCGGTGTTGTGATCAGAATGCTGTCAAATCGGGAATCAGCTAGGCGATCAAGAAAGAGGAAGCAAGCACACTTGAATGATCTTGAATCACAGGTTTCAAATTGTGATAGATGAGTGCTCAAGTTAATATCCAACTAAATTGAAGATACTCGTGCTAATTACTGCACAACTCTCCAGGTTTCCAGGTTAACATCTGAGAATGCATCTTTGCTAAAGCGTCTGGCTGATATGACTCAGAAATACAAGGATGCTTCCCTTGACAATAAAAATCTAACAGTTGATATTGAGACTATGAGGAGAAAGGTTCGTTCATCTTGAATGCATCAGACATTTTTTTTTCCTTTTTGTTGTATGAAAACTCTTAACTGCATCCATTTATCTATTATCATATTTTTACTGGGCTCTGCATATAGAGTCACTAGATCAATGTTTACATCTCTTTAGATGGTTGAAAAGGGCAGTGAAAGTAATATGATTTTTCATAATTTTTGTTTTAGAACCTGCAAGTTCAGTCTTAGTTCATAATGATTTTAACTGCACCCCAAAAAGTACGACCGTATTTTCATTTGATTTTCTGAATTTCTGCATATCTTCTTCTATAAGTGTGATAGGAATAATTTAGTTTCTTGGTTTTGTTTTGTTGCAGTTTCATTTCAGATATTTATTTTCTTCTGTTATTTTTTAAGAATAACAGTGTTCTCTTACAGGTGTGAGGAGTTGTAAAACGAAACAAAATATTAAAAGTGCCCTTACCATGTTGCAATGCTCCAAGTGTGTCCCCCATTAAACCTGCGGTGTTGCCCTTGTGGAAGGGCTCTCTTGAGAACAATGATACCGCAAGGAGTCCAAACAGAATACTACCATACAAACATTTCTTAATGCTTGTGTGTGAGTATATGCACAAACTCTGTATTCTTGTATCATTAGTAAAGGTATTTTTGAATTTTAAAATATCTATGCTTAAGGGTTTTAACATAATCATGTGAAGTAATTATGAAAATTTGCTTAAACTATGACTGTTCCAATCAAGTTTTTTCCAAAAGAAAAAGATCTTCACAAAAAAACTAGGCTTTTAACAAATCTGCACACCATGACTTTATGAAAAGAAACATATCTTCAGGAACTCGTATTGCTATCCCTTTACATATATGGTTATTGTTTATGAAACTTTATGTTTGTTAATAAGCAGTACACACAAAAATCCATTAAAATAGATTACTAGTTGACTTGAGAGTGAACCAGCCCTGCCTTTATATTCCCCTACCCAAAGGCAGTAGACAAAGAAATAACTCGTTACACATCCTTGTTCTTTATTTTGTTAATCTAAGTATTGTTTTCAGGTGAACATAGCCGAGGAAGCTGTCAGGAGATTAACTGGAACAACCCTCATGTTATCAACCGCATTTGACAAGCCCGCGAGCAGCACGCCCCTGTCATCATGTGCATCTGATGCGGCTTCTGCCTCTGTCGCCATTGAAGACAGCATGAAACATTTCCTCCAGGCGCCACTTCAAAGCGGTCAGATGAAGCTTGACATCCCAAAAGCAGCAATTCCTCTGACCAGTGGGGTGATAGGCACCAAGCCAGCTTCTCTGCAGCGTGTTGCTAGCTTGGAGAACCTGCAGAAGAGGATCATTGGAGATTCAGTGCACTCTGAGACTGCATCAACATTCTCAGGTCCTGAAGCTCTTGCCGATAGGTAAACACGAGTTTGTAAAGATTCGCTCCAGTGATGAACAGCCGTGTGATGCTCTAGTGGCCTAAGTTTTTGAGGTAATGGAAGTTGTATCACCCATGCGCCTGGGTGCGATCTATACAGTGATTTGTACACTATTTTGAAGATTAATAATGCTGTGGCTAAGGCTGTCATCTTTGATTCTGGACTAAATAGGCTTGTGGACATCAAGCACCATGAATGCAGGATGGTTAAGAATGCAGCTTCTGTTGAGATTGATATGAAGCTTCTTTTGCTATCTGCGCATGTTTTCTGTGCTGGAAGTTATTAATCCTCTTACAAGAGCTCAATCGGTCATATTAACACCATTACATTGCTACATATTAACAGTTTGCGTGTAGGATTTTCTTGATGATGTGAAGAGTCGAAGGTAAGATGTAGAACCAGTCCCGATCCTAAAATCCATTGTGGATCGTTTATTTCTTCCAGCTAGCGCAACGGATGTCATATACGCTACCAATCTACCATAATGTTCCAGCAATAAACAAAAACAAAACATTGAGGCTACTGGTGGTAGTTCAGTAATGTCCGTCACAAAATATGGCATTTCCATCATCAGTATAATATCTACCGTGAAACACAGGTACAGATCGCTGCTTCTTTCACTGGGTACAACATGTAGTGATTGATACTAAAACCGAGTGGATCATTACATCACAAGCAGGTGAACACCTCATCTACCAGTAGCATAGATACATCTCTGCAGGGTTAATGGCAAGCTTGATGGGTGGTTGGTTAATCACAAGAATATCGGAGCCATGACCAATGTGATTGTGGCAAGCATCTTGATAAGAACGTGCAGCGATGGACCCGCGGTGTCTTTGAATGGGTCTCCAACCCTGCAGCACAACACATACTCTTATAAGTGCATAGAAAACTTTCGGATAGTGCCAAACATCCAGAATTGGAAATAAAGCCACACGCCATGATCGGAACTATTTTACTACAGGAAAAACATCTCTTTGCTCTGCCTTGGCCAACAGAATAAACTCAACTCAAGAATCTTGCCCCAAAGTATAAGTCACTAGGACACTAAAAGCTGAGAAACTTACGTGTCACCAGTAACTGCAGCCTTGTGGGCCTCGCTGCCTTTGCCACCAAGAGCGCCAGTCTCAATGTACTTCTTTGCATTATCCCAGGCGCCACCAGCAGTGTTCATGAAGAGTGCCATGAGAATCCCAGCAACTGTCGCAAACATAAGCAGCGACGCTACAACTTTAGCTCCAAGAAGTGGCCGACCAGTGGAGTGGCCCAAAATCCGGAAGACAACGCCTGCAAACCACATAAAAGAAATTAGAAAAGTATTGAGTGCCAGTCACCACAAATATGGCCTACAAGACTCACCAACAGCCATGGGTGATATAATTGCTAAAGCCCCAGGTTTTATCATTTCTCTCAAGGATGCAGATGCCACAATTGCAACACAGCGTCCATAATCAGGCTTCTCTTTGTAGTCCTGGATGGTATTGTTACAAGTTAGCATCAGCTTTTCCAAGCATAAAAGAACTGAAGAGCTTCGTGGTAATCATGTACTCACCATAATACCAGGCCTCTCGATAAATTGTCTCCTGACCTCATTAACAACTTCCTGTGCAGTTTTACCAACTGCTGAGCAAGCCCATGCACTGAACAGGAATATAAGCATTGAGCCTAACAAACCACCAACAAAAATCTCTGGGACTGCTATGTCAACCTGCAGCAATTGTGTAAGACCATTGAATATGAGCACAAAAAAATTAGTATTCTACGTGGCATTATAACACATACTGCATACCTCCTTGAATGGCAATTGAGCAAAAGAAGCTACTTCATCCATATATGCACTAAACAGGAGGAAGGAAGCCAGTCCTGCTGACCCTATGGCAAATCCTTTCGTAGTAGCTTTAGTTGTGTTGCCCACAGCATCTAGAACATCTGTGATTTCTCTCACACTTTCAGGCTGCACCAGTACACAATCACAATGGATGATTAAACATAATACCTAGTACTAAAGCCCACATATAAACATGAGACAAATGCTAAACCTGCTAAGTTGCATTACTGCCATTATGGGAAGAAAAACAGTACATAATGCTTTGAATTGTTCTTTAGTTTTGAACCATGAAATGCTTTGAAATGGCAAAAGTATTAAATACAGATTGTTTGCTATAACCTACAGGCGACAACAGAGGTTTGAACTACAAAAGAACATGTGTCATACCTGCTGGCTCATCTCAACAATACCACCAGCGTTGTCAGCTATAGGACCAAACATGTCCATGGTGAGAACATACCCTGCTGTGCTAAGCATTCCCATTGTTGCTACAGCTGTCCCAAAAAGACCACCAGCTGGGTTGCCAGACTCGTCCACCAAGCCAGAGGTCTGCCCCAGCCAATAGGCTGATATAATGGCAACACTTATCACTAGAACTGGTAGGGCTGTTGATTCCATTCCCAAACTTACTCCAGCAATAATGTTAGTTCCATGTCCTGTAGAACTTGAAAGAGCTAAAAGGCGGACTGGCTCGTGTTTATAATCCGTGTAATACTTCGAAATCCAAACAAAAGCATATGCTGTGATGATCCCCACCAAGCCACACAATGCAAAATTCAGCCATGCAGAAGGTGCTTGTTCCGTGTACAGGAGCCAACGAGTAGACTGGAAATTTAACACAGATCAATAATAATAAATCAACTTCTGGGGAGAAAGGTATGATTTTACTTTGTATAAAGGGAAGACAGAACATCACAAACACAGGCTCTGCTCAGTGTGAGTTGAATGACTATCATAAAAACTTCAACAGAACTCAATCAACTACAGAGTCATAGCAAACTTTGACAAGGGTTCATGGTTTTCAATATGTTTCTGTTATCCATTTCAAATATCATTGGATTACATCCTTCGGCTATGGATTTAGCTATAAGTAACTGTCAGACCACTGTTTGGACAATTACTGGCATCTCTTTCTTCCAAGAGCAATTAATAATAATTGATGCTTCAATGACTCAATAAAAGTGCTCTATTTATAATAAGAAGCAAATGGGAAGCCTACATGAAAGCCAACAAACTATGTTGTAGACCACTTTTGCATATTGCAACTCTGAAGTGATTTATATACCCAGCCAATGGGAACAGATGCAGTAATATCATACAGCATTAATGTATAATACCACAGATGTTATTGTAAGCAGTAAAATAACATAGTCAAATAATATAAGTATTTATGAAAATAACAAGACTCACCGCTCCAAACGTAAGAACAGCAAGCATAATAGTAATAGAGTAGCCTTTTTGCATAATTGCCATGGGATCTTCGATAGGGGAAATGAGTCCAGAGTCACGTGTTCCTCTGATTGAGAGAATTCCAACTGATGACACCACCAAATCAAATGAATGGACAACAAGAGGAAACAAAATAAAGCCAGAGGGATCTGCAATAATAAACAAAGCTGATTATGGGCCAGAATAGAGCAATTACAAAGGTGCAGTATGTGTACCATTGTACCAAAAACACGACAGTTCTTAATTTTAGTAAAAACCAAGTACCGTCCATGCATAGCTCATCCAAAGATTAGTTTTTGTACATAAATAGATTAATAAGAACTTATGATACCAAGAATATCAGCAACCACTTGCAAGCTGTGCCCAGTATTCTTATTGACAAATATTATATTAGAGGGTAAACAAAAGAGACTTGCCCTCAATTTTACAGCGTTGTGCCATTGTTCCTCCAAGTATCATTGCACTGATAATTTCTGCTGCTATGCTCTCAAAAAGATCAGCGCCTCGGGCAGCACAATCTCCAACATTGTCACCAACCTGAGTAGTTTTCTTTTGTTATACAAGAATATATAGTAGCAAAAGATGAACTATAGGATAACAAAAACAAGGCAAGTAGAGTTGTAGAGCAAAGCAAATCTTGTATTGAGTATTGCAGCACAGACAAGAAACATTCAGTCCTCGAGAATGTTTATGATTCAGAATTCTACCAAACCTTAGGCAACAAGGCAACTCTAGCACATATAGTAGCATATTACATAATCGTTCAGTGAGTTTCAAAACAGAAGCAAGCTGTTAACATCAATTTACCCCTACTAAAGTTTGAGAAGCACATCAATACTGATCTTCATCGCTAATGCCAGGTATACTTGAACATAATTGAGCAGTCTTCAATGAAAAATAATAAAAAAGAAACAGCATTCCAAGTTTTACTTGAGAACATCAATACCAAGTCAGCGATGACAGCTGGGTTACGAGGATCATCTTCTGGTATTCCCTGCTCAACTTTTCCAACCAGATCAGCTCCAACATCAGCAGCTTTAGTGAATATTCCACCACCCAACTGAGCAAAAAGGGCAACAAAAGAGGCACCAAAACCATATCCCACAAGGAGAAGAGGCACTGCACAAAAACCATATGAATCAGCAGCAGAATAATATTCCTTTCACATAACAAAATGGTATTGCAATTTGCAACTACAAGAAAATAAGTAGATAATTGGTGGACAAGTTGGATTGTAATCTAGAGTGTTTTCAGGTGTACTGTGTACAAGAAACTTACAGTCCGTAACCTTCATTGACCCAGGTGAATCTACTCCAAGCCAAACATAAAATGTTGAGTACAGTATTGCCACGCCAAATACAGCCATGCAAACAACCACAATGGCTGAGAAACCACCAGCACGGACAGCAATCTGTTTTGAGGAAACAGACATGACTTGAAATTCTATTGTAGAAGGCAAACGCCAAGTGCATCCAGGAACGAAACCAAACCTGCAATGCTTCTCTTGCAGAGCGCCGAGCAGCACTTGAAACTCGTACATTTGCACGTACAGACACCCACATTCCAACAAAGCCAGCTATTCCAGAACATAATGCTCCAAGGAGAAAAGAAGCAACTGTAATATAGGCTAATGTTGCCCTGTGTAGTCATGATATTCACGAGATGTCAACATGGCAACAACTAATAAACATATATAGGTACAAATAAGGTTTCAGATAATGGCAGACAAATCACCTTCCCAAGCCAGATGCCTCCTGCTGTGGGGTGGTAGTGCGAAAGAGATAAATGCCAAGGATGACAAAGGCAAGAATAAGTGCCATTTTAGAAATAGTTCCATATTGTGTCCTAAAAAACCCTTCAGCACCATCTCTTATGGCGTCAGATATCTGAACAAGAGAAGGCACAAAATCAAATCACACTACATCACTACTCTGGTGGGTCAAAAACCCAATAATACTAGCACAATTTAGAGAAACCATTGCATGAAGCAGAATATGCATAGCAAGACAGCAACATTAGCATACAGCACTTTCTAAACACAGAAACGGCATGTGACGAGAAGCGAAGCATTGAAGATGCAGAAAATGAAGGCATAGCACATTATCAGTGAGCTGAATTGAGGCAGTTTTTATACCTCGGACATTTCTGGAGGTCCTTCGTCCTTAGCAAGAACCCACTTTGTAAGGTAGAGAGAGAAGAATAGACTGAGAGTACATATACAGAACACAAAGACCACAATTGGTGATGTACTGGCTCCCACATATAGAACACCACTGAAGACCAAAAGAGAGAGAATAATCAAGGCACGGGGATTTATCCTCATCAACAAACGGAAGGCCTGCAGCAACCAAAAAAAAAACGAAATAAGATACAAATGTAAAATATCCAACAGTTGCTCATAACATGTTAAAAAATGTATGCCAATCAATCAGCAGAAATGTACACTTCAAGGTTTTTTTTCATTTATCAAATTTTCGTGACATGGAATATAAAGTGTTGTGAAGGGCGGGCCTGGTGCAAGCGGTAGAGTCTTACCGCCTGTGACCGGAAGGTCCCGGGTTCGAGTCGCGGTCTCCTCGCATTGCACAGGCGAGGGTAAGGCTTGCCACTGACACCCTTCCCCAGGCCCCGCACAGAGCGGGAGCTCTCTGCATTGGGTACGCCCTTTATGGAATATAAAGTGTTAAGTGGCCAGTTCTTTTAGCTGAATGACCATTTTTGGGATATGAGAAAAAGAGGATAACTTTTAACCTACCATGACTTGTGACTAATAGAATTTATTTAATAGGTAGGACCAAAGTCTAAAAGGCTTTGTTGTCGTTGTTGATGAGCAAAAGTGGATAACTTTATTAGCTACTTTATGTATAAATTTCTAAAGTATAAATATATAGCTAAAACAAAGAAAGATGGAAAAGAAATGCTGTAGTATCCATAGTGTGCTGAAGTTCTTTGGTGTACACTTTGATAACTGTCAATAGGCATATACATTAAACTAATGGTATAGAAAAATAAATAAATGAACAGTGTAGATATTTCTTTCCCACCCAAAATAAAATAGTGTGGATATATCAACAAAAACAGGGACATTTCATACTGCTTTGTTTTAGGACAGATACCATGTACTTGCACATACTAGCACACAAGAAAGAAATACATACACGAAGTGAGTGCACAACTTATGAATGGAAGTTAAATTGGTCCTTTTCAAAATAGCCAGAAAAGTCGGTTTTGTATTTTCAAAGGTGGAGAAGCTTAGGAATAGTCCATACCAGCGGTACAGATGATTTGCTTCGTACTGTTGAGAAAGTCCTTGGTCTTTCTTGATACGACCTTCCACTTTCCATGTCCGCTTCCATCATGATGGAATATGAATTTGCCCTCCTTGTCACTGGAAAAGGAACGAACTCCCCAACTTGGGGTAGGTCGCTCCCTGAGCCCTGGCGCTGAATTTTGGATAGTCTATGTCAGACCACCTCTCAAAAATAGTAAGCCCTAAAAGTTTAACACATCCAGATTTTCTTCAGCCTCAGCGACGAGCTTCTCTTTGATTGAAAGGGTTCTTTTTGTCGCCAAGTCTACAAGATGATATTACCATGAAGCTAAATGTAGTGAATGTTCTATAGAAGCATGATAAACAAGCACAAGGTACAATTGTCGCCAAAAACATGAACTCCTGGTTAGACTAAAATAAAGTACAGTAGCAGAGTACCGAGGCACCTTCTATAATAAGGACAATTCAAAAGTATAATCTTCATTAGAGACACCTGCAATCTATGAAGCACAGATACGGATACACTCATACACGGATATGGCATTTCCCAAAAATAGCCGATACAAAGATATGTTTCAGCAAATTAAATAATAAACAATAAGACACGTTAAAATTGTAATAATCGCAGTAGCAGCCTAGCTGGAAGGCTTAGCTGGGTGGAGATCTAACAAATAACCAATCTCTTCTCTGAAAGTTTACACAGTTAAGCATCTAGCAGAAATATTGCCCTAACTTCATTTCTGCGATCACGACTAGTGTCAGGTGATGAATAATTCTCGGGCAAGTAACGATTCTAAGTTCAGAACCAAGTGAAACATCCTCTGTTGATAGAGAAACAACAGCAGACCGAGCAAAGCTGACAGTAGTTCAATATCTAGACTCCACTTCTAGAAAGACAACGCCTGGCGTAACTACGGGAGAGGGAGCAGGGCTGGTTCTCACCGCTGATTCACGCCGGCCGGCAGGTGGCGGAGCTCGTTGCGCGCCGCGCGCGTGCAGGCGGCGTCGGAAACGGGACCCGCGGGACGTCCGCGGCTAGCAGGCGGCGTGCGTCCCCTGGGCGGATGCCGCCTGCCGGAGCTCGTGGCGCGGTGATGGATCTGGTCCCTGCCGCGGGCACGGGGATGGATCTGGGAGGAGGGAGAGGGAGAGGAGGCGGCGGCACCTACGGGAGCAGCCGCCGGCGCCGGCACCGAAGTGGGTCACGGGGGAGGGGCCGCCCCGCCGGTGGCGTCCGCGAGGATGAGCGCGGCCGCTTGCTGGCAAGGCAGCGACGAAGCAGGCCGCGGATCTGCGAGGCGAGGGGGAGGTTTCTCCAAGACACACACAGAGGCAAGGCAGTTGTGGGAGGATGACCACGCCGATGAAGAGGACTGAGAGGTGGAGTGGAGTGGAGTCTCGCCGGCCCGCGTTAGGATAATTCCCGGTAGTGCCCAGCCCACTAAGCCCAACAAATCTCTCTTTTTCCTTTTTGAGGAAAAAACTCCTTTTACCTCCAAAACCATAAAATTTGGATTACCTACCCACGTCAGTTAAGAAGTGATTTTCAAGACGGTTTAATTCTTTTCTGAAAATTTTAGTAAACACCTGATAAGTTTTTTAAAACCATAAAAATATCTCTATCTAACCTTCTAAAATTTCAAAGGAAAATCTTAGAAATATATTGGGACACAATCAAACAAGACACCAAAATAAAATATTTGGAGTTCATGAAAAATAATCTTGAAGGTTCTATAAATTAGATTTAGCTCTATGAAGACGAGAAACATACCTTGAACAATCTAGAGAAATTTCAAAAACATTTCAATCAATATCTAACAAACACATTTTAAAACTTTCCACGACAAAAATATGAGATGAAATCAGCATAAATGCAACATGCATTAATGATGAATGCATTGGTGCTGGTTACATCTCTTGCTTTCATTTTGAAATGTAATGAAGTGATCGCTTAAAATTCTAGAAATTTCCATATTTTTCTGGGTAATTTTTTTATTTGTCTAGAGCTAAATCTAGTCTCGGGCAGCATAAAAAAATTATCATTGAATCATCATTAATGCATTTTTCATATTTTTTCATCATTAATTTTTCTTTAGATACATTTGTTTTGCGATGGCTTGTAGACCGCTAGCCTGCTAGCACATCCGTGCTCGCTATCCCACGGTCGTAGCTTGCCCTAGGCATGTTGCCGGCTTGGTTGCCCATGCTAGGTCGCGCAAGTGGGGAGAGGGATGGACCTCGTTCCTAAGGAATATTCTGTGAATATTCCTCAAGGACGAACCTTGTTATTCTTGTCCTCTCAATCAAATACCATGGAAAAGGAAAGAAGGGAGATATCACGTGACGGGTCGCGCGACCCGTCTGCAACCTCCGCCGCGCCGCACCTGCCTCCTCCCCCGCCTTCGTCACGTCGCGCCCTGCCTCCTCCCCCGCCCCTTTCTCCCTCCCCACGTCTCGCCCTGCCTCGACCCCGCTATAGGGTCGAGATGGTGGACTAGAGGGAGGTGAATAGTCCTTTCTAAAATTAATTATGTCGGCTAACCGTAACAAATGCGGAAATAAAACTATTGGTCTAGCCAAGACTACACCCCTCTATCTATGTTCTCCAGCACCTTACAAAGATCCTAATTATACAACTAAGGTGTCGAGCTAGTTAGAGCTCACATAATCAATTCTAGTAGCAAGGTCACACAAACCAATGTAACTAGTACTTTGCCAACTGGGGGAGCTGCTACACAATCTAGTAAGCAAAAGCACAAAGCCACCTAAGCTCACTAGTAATGCTCAATAACAAGGCTACACAAGCCAAATTACAGAACACAAATTACTTAGCTACATAAACTAAGCAATGTGACTAACAAGGTTACTAAAACCAAATTAGCTATGCAAGAGAGCTACTTCTATGTTACACAAGCAAGAAGGTAACTAGCAAGCTACACAAGCCAACTAATTACAAGAGCAACTACACAAGCACAATGTATATGAAAGTAATACAAGCTTGTGTTTCACAGAATGCAAAGCACCGAGAAGATGATAAAGACAATGTTGACACGGTGATTTTCTCCCAAGGTTCACTTGGTTGACACCAAGCTACGTCCCCGTTGTGTCGACTGCTCACTTGGTGGTTTAGCGGCTAATTGGCATCACCCGTCAAGCCCGCACGTTGGGCACCGCAAGAACCTACCCCAAAAGTGAGGGTAGCTCAATGACACGTTCAACTAGAGTTTTTCTTCGTGATCCCCGTGGGGTGAGCACAATCCCCCTCACAAATCCTCCTCCGAAGCATCGCATAATCTTCTTGTGTGCTTTAATGGAGTCGCAAGCCACCAAGTCATCTAGGAGGTGGCAACCTCCAAGAGTAACAAGCACCACCAGCTTGCAACTCGATCACCTAGTGCCACTCGATACAACCTTATGATGCAGCGTTCTAGAATCACACTCACTCGCAATCGGATCGCACTCCTGCAAGCACAAGTGACTTAGAGGGCATCCAAGGCTTAAGGGTGCTCAGCAACCAGCCCAAGCCTGAGCTCCACCTCTATTTATAGCCCCCAAGCCAAATAGAGCCGTTGGAGCAAAGCTGCTGGTTTCTGCGAGGGCACCGGACACGGCGGTGACCTGCTCAACGGTCGAATTTTAACGGTCACAAACTAGCCGTTGGGGCACCGGACAGGGTGACGATGACCACCTTGTTGAGCCCCCCGTTTTCCCTACTCTCTGGATAAAAGGGGCGGTGCACCGCCGCACCCATGGCGGTGCCCCCCTTTGGCTCAACACCAAACTCGCCAGCCTCGGGAAGAAAGCAACGGTGGCACCGGATGCCCCATGGCGGTGCACCGCCCTGCACATGGCGGTGTACACCGTCACCAGCGGTGATCACCTCCACTGCTGCTGCTCTAAACTAGGGCCATGTAGGCACCGCCCTAGGGGTGGTGGTGCCACCGGACAAGGCACGACAGTGCCAGCCCCAACACTCCTTCTTGCCAAGGCCAGGTGGGCACCGCCCTAGGGGTGGCGGTGCCACCAGACAGGGGGTGGCGGTGCCACCCAAGCAGCACCCCAAGCCTAGTTTCGCCTCCTTTTCTTCACCAAGTTCTTCTCCTTTACAAATGTGCTAACACCATCAAGTGTTCACCAACTTGTGCAAGTGTGTTAGCTTTTCACAAATATTTTTTCAAAGGATTAGCACTCTTTTCTCAACGTCACTCGATCATAACACGTATGCAAAGTTAGATCGCTCAAGTGGCACTAGATGACCGATATGCAAACAAGTTTGCCCCTCTTGATAGTATGTCCATCTATCCTAAACCCCGGTCATGCACTTCTCTACACAACCTTTGACCGGTGAAATGAAATGCCCTACAAATATACCTTTGCCTTGCGCATTCCATTCCATCTCCTCCATTCATTACTAGAGGCGCAAGAATGGCCGACGGTTATTAAACCGTTGGCCATTAATTTGTACCGTCAGGAAGTACAATTGCCGAGCGTATACCGTCGTGAAGCTCCCGTCGGGCATCAATGGTCGGGCATTCCCACTTTTACCGACTGGTAGTCAGTTATTGTATGGCTGACTGTATGTTTCCAATGGTTGACGCTCGGCAATTAGTTGGTAAACACGTCATTCGGCCTTTGGTCCGACATGAATTGCCGAGGGTTTCCCGGTCGGGGATTTGTTGCTTGACAGTTTTTTTAAACCCATCGGGAAACATATCCAGTCAGGGATTTGTTGCTTGATAGTTTTTTAAACCCATCGGGAAACATATCCGGTCAGGGATTTGTTGCATGACAGTTTTTTAACCCATCGGGGAAACATATTAGCAACGGTGTTTATTAACCGTCTGGAATTAAATACTCTCGGTACAATATATATGTGAAGGTTTTGGTTTCCCACCAGCTAAAACTATTAAACCATCGGCAATATAGAGATGAAGTTGTTTTATTATAATCCATTATCCGATATTGCTTGGGATATTTTTTATAGCCGTAAATAATTAATATATGTAACCAGGAAGATCAATTACAAATGTTGAACATTCACAATTCATGACATTTCATAACCGACTCTTTAATATTGAAAGGTACGGTCTAGACATTCTGAAAGTTTCTAAGAACATTCTTCAACATTACATAAATTAATGTTCAAATTAAAATACTTGACTAAGATACTGCTCTGCTGTTCACAAGGCATAAGAAAAACTACTTAAAAGTGCCAGACTGCATATGTTGCATATAATCTCTTCTCATCACCAGGAAGCATCATCATCGAAAAAGTCTTCACCATTGTTCTCGTAATTTTGGCCATCATCTAGGGAATGGTATCCTTCATCATCATAATCATATATGTCATCTTCATTTTCCTCACCACTATAGGCTGCCCCACCAATATTTTCCTCACCACTATAGTCTGCTCCACCAATGTTATCCTACAGAAGTTATAAAATTATTTTTATAAGCATATGAACCAGCTTGAATATATATAAGATAGATTTTGCAATAATTTCAGGTATGGCACGGATACATTTGGAACACACTTAATACTTACATGATCAGATGCATTAGGAACAATTTTCTCATGCTCTCTAGCGAATGCAACCTCAGATTCAGAAGTAGGCTGCATGTCATGCATATATTAGTTTATACTTTGAAGGTCAGTTTTGCAATGAATTGAGGTGGAAAAAATAAAATTCAAATCTGAATCAACTAGAGTGATGCTTGAGTTCATTGTAATAATTTATGCTCTGTGAGGTAGCTGGTAAACTTACCAAGTTAGATGCATTTTCCTGAGCTAATGCATCAAAGTCCATTCCTTGTTTAGCAACAAGTGCCTGTTAAAACTTTATGGTTAGCCATAGGTATTTATTTGTACGCATATATTTATTCTAACAATAATTACCCGCACAACATGTTCAAGGTTGCTATATTCTTTTCGCAACAGCAGATTTTCCCTTTCAAGCCGCTTCTCTTTAGCAGAAACATATGGTTGTGCACTTCTTTTTCTTGTCTTGATTGTTTCCTTCTCAGCAATACTAATTGCTCCATCACCAATTCCTAGCTTACCATGTGGCATTCTACCTGCACACTCATAAATGACACTTGCATCTAATTCGGGATGCTCAATTTTTCAATTCGTGCCATACTTTTTTTCCATTCCTTCCTCATATTTTGCCTTTTCCAAAAAAACATAGAAAAGCTGAGGATAAGTAACAAGACAACTACAAGAGCTATCAACTAAATAATCCAACACTCACCCATTTATCAGCAGCATTCTGGTTGCACAACCTGCCATCATTTGTCCCTGGATTCAATTCATGATTATGCAGCCAAGCGCCACCAATTCCAGGGTCAATGCCAGTTTTTAGTGCCTGCAATTAAAGTGTAAGTATGCTTTGACATGTATTGAACATTGTACATCAGTAGTTTATGAAGTCACAACTTTTTGGTTTGGGTTCTTACCAGCCATTGGCGTGTTGCTAGTAAGCTTCTTGAGCCACTGCGATGGTATACGTTATTATCTCCAGCTAGGTGATTTTGCTTTGCCTTTAAGGATGACTTTCTAAATTTTGATGTACTCCAGTGCTCACATAACAAAGCCCAACCTTCATTGGTTGTAAAGTCTCTTGGTTTTACAGATATAAGTGCTTCTTTTGTTGGCCAACGATTTCCATATTCATCTACATCTTCTGGGGGCACATTACCATCCTTATATAGTTTCTTTGTGATAGCCCGCTTCTCTTCACTCAACATCTTAGGCACCATGTTTTTAAATTTTAACTCCAAGACAGCATCTGCCTCAGCTCTATCTTCTGGAAGACACTTGAAACGCCACAGCCATATTATTTATAGTAAGTTGCAGTTGAGATAAATTTTAAACAATAGCAAAGCTAGTTAGTAAGCTGTAGTTATTATGCACATGTAGCACATACCCAGAACTCTTCCAATACTCTCTTATCAGTTGATACCCCAGCTATGGTAGTCTTCTTGAAATCTTCCCATGTTAGCACTGGCTTCATCCCATTTATTGTATCAACAAAATCAGGATACATCTCGCGAACTAGAGCGCCAATTACTGTTGGGGGTTTGTGAGAACTTTGATAAGGATGCACTTCCCAGTGCCTGATAATTTTATATTAAATCAAACGACATCATCATATAGGGATAAAAGATATAAAATACATAAGTGAAATGTTAAAGTAAGCAAAACATCATGGACCCGGTCAGTACTGAAAACTCCTACCTTACAGAAATGTGGAAAGTTAAAAATACAACATTCTTTATTTAGTCTTTGCAAGCTCTTTAAATAAATATGCTGGTGCATCCAACTATCTACAAGCAAGCTAGTGCACTAATGACATGACATTGTTCTCTATCATGGACAAACTGTACTTGCTAAAAATTAATCTGAACAATGAACACTTGAACACAAAATACTGAGACAATAGTCTATGTTAATACAAAAGCGATAGATATAATATGGACACATAATTATACAAATTAAAGCAGCTATAATGTTACTTACTCTCCAACAGCCTTGATCGTGGGTCTTTCTCTTTCTGGAAGTCTTTCACCGCTATCCGTCTTTGATCGAGTATTTTTTTTCTCAATAGCTTGCTGACTTGCTGAAGCCAATCCATTATTTTCTCTTGCAGCAGCTGATGTGGAACGCACTGACCTTGATGATGACACAGGTCTGTGCTTCAAGCAGCCACTCATCCTGCTTCATACATGGCAATAAGTATGTTGCATAAAATGTTTATTAAACAGAACGAGTAGGCACCAATAAAATTAGGGGATACATAAGTAAATAAGTGAAGTAAATCATCAGTCAAACAAGGATGCACCATATTTTAGATTGGGAAGACATATTTCTAGTTCAATATGAAAGCTAAATAATAAGATACTAATGTACATATTAAAAATAAGGATTCAATAATCATCATAATCAAATTCTAAGGAATCATCTGTGGTTTCCTCATCCTCGTCAATGTCTTCCATGTCGCTATTTTCTTCAACTATTTGTTGCTCTTCGTCACTACTACTCCCATGATAAGAAATGTCATCCAATGGATCCTCAGTGCTGTTTTGCTTTTCTATAGTTTCAATATCTTGAGGATCAAGGACATCATCCAAGGCCTCTGAAGACACAGTTACATCATCAAACAAGCCATCAACATCAATGGAGAAGCTTCCCTGCAGCTCATCTTCTTGGAAAAATACATCTGTAATAGGTGGCTCATGTGCATCTACTGTGTCAAGGTTGGTTAAGGTCCTTGGTTGGATCTTGTAAACAACAGACCAATCACACAAATCACGCCTTAGAGATGGGTACTGCAAGTAGTATACTAGTGTGGCTTGGTGAGCCATGGCAAAGGGTTCAAAATTCACCAGCCTTGAAGATGGCTTGACTTCCACCAAACCTAATTTTGGTTCAGATCTAAGACCAGAAATTGGATCAAACCAGCAGCACTGTAAGAGAACCATTTCAATTTTTCTACCAACATTAAAAGAAAGTTTGATAATGTCCTCGACTACACCATAATAGTCAAGTTGTTGATCATCTGAGGTGAATGATGTCAAACAAACCCCTGTGTTCACTGTGGTCAGCTTTGCACGGGAGTTTTCATATCGCTCTGACCTGAACCTATAGCCATTAACATCATACGAGCTATATGATAGTACTCTAGATTTGCATCCATTGGCTAAATTCCACAAGTCTTCATCTGCATCGGTATCCTTTCTACACTATAAAAATAAATAAGTCTGTTAGAATATATATACACGTGTTCATGAAATACGGCTAAGGTAATATGTCCTTACAATTTTCTTAAACCAATCCACAAATTCATCTGTCATCATTTTGTCAAGGACCTCCACTGACAACCTAGGGTTATTAGCACGCTTCTGTTCCATAAATGCCCTATAAATATATACAAGTTATAGAACCTCTGCTAGAACAGTTAAAAATTGTTATTTGCATCACTTACTCTTGATAACGATCAACAGCAGAGCAATTGGTCAAAATATACAGCCTCGCTGCATTCAATTCTTGTTCTGAGAGGTCACGAGGCACGCCCCTACCATGAAGGGTGCCTTGATATTGGAAAACATCTAAAGTGCAGCCATCATTCTTCACGTGTGTTCCCCTACTGTTGTATCTATCAACCTTTTTCCATCTAGTACGAACATGGTCCACAAAATATCCAGAAAAAAGTCAGTTATCTCTTTCACAATCTCAGCCTCTACAATAGAACCCTCAACTCTAGCTTTGTTCTGCACTTTCAGGCCCAGGTCATGCATGTACCTAGCAAAATATTACTACAATGTTTAGTGATATAATAACAAAAAAATTTGAATCGAGCTGAACTAACTTATTTAGAAAAATTAATAATTACCTCTCATGTTGGTACATCCAGCGAAATGCCACAGGTCCGCCAACCCTTGCCTCATATGGAAGATGCACAATTAGATGTTGCATTACATTAAAGAACCCTGGTGGGAACATTTTCTCTAGCTTGCATAGAAGAACTGGAATCTCCTTCTCAAGTTCACGCATTCTCTCTCGATCAATTTCTTTGGCACATATTTGTCGATAAAAAAAACATAGTTCTGATATATCCTTCCATTCCTTCTCAGGGATGAAACCCCTAAGTGCAACTGGTAGTAGGCGCTCGATGATTATGTGTAAGTCATGGCTTTTTATACCAATAAATTTCTGCTTATCCAACTTTACAGATTTACTTAAATTAGCAGCAAAGCGATCTGGGAACTTCAGTTGCTTGAACCACTTGAAGATAACCAATCTATCATCATTACTAACACAATATTTTCCCCTCGGTTTTGTCCATGTGCCATTGGGCTTCTTAATCAAATCAAAAGTTGGGCGATCACAAAGCATAGCCATGTCAAGACGTGCTTTAATATTGTCCTTAGTTTTATCTGAGATATCTAGAGTTGTGCCTAATAGTGCCTCTGCAACATTTTTCTCATTGTGCATGAGATCAATGTTATGTCGGAGAAGCAACTTTTTCCAGTATGGCAATCGCCACAAACAACTAATATCTGTCCAATTGTGCGACTTCCCAAACCCTTTATATTTATTGTTACCTTTGCTATCAAGAGTTAGATTATTTAACTGTTCCAATATCTCAGCACCAGTTAGGTGCTTTGGTGGAGGATCTGTAATTCTAGTTTTCTTTCGAAAACACTTCACACTTTTGCGGAATGCGTGGCTAGCTGGAAGAAATCTCCTATGGCAATCAAACCAGCAAGGTTTGTGCCCATGCTTCAAATTAAATGTCTTAATGTCAGACCCACAAATTGGACAAGCTAGCTTTCCATGTGTGCTCCAGCACGCTACTAAGCCATATCCAGGAAAATCATGAATGGTCCACAACACAATTGCCTTCATGGTGAAGTTTTCCTTTCTATAACAGTCGTAAGTAAGAGAACCTTTTTCCCATAAATCCAAGAGCTCATCAACTAGTGGTTCCATGTATACGTTGAAGTTCTTCCCCGGGTGTTCACGACCAGGAATAACGAGTGCAAGGATGATGTTGCTCTTTCTAGTGCACATTTCAGGAGGGAGGTTATAAGGAACAACAAAGACAGGCCAACAAGAGTATGGGGCAGCATGAGCGCTAAAAGGTGTAAAACCATTAGTTACCAAACCAAGACGCACATTCCTAACCTCTTTGGCAAAATTTGGATACAACTTGTTAAATTCCATCCAAGCTTCTCCATCCGAAGGGTGAGCCATAACATTATCATTGTTGCGGGGTTGTGCATGATATCCCATGTGCTTTGCCGTGTTCTGTGACATGTACAGGCATTGTAGCCTTTGAGTAATTGGAAGGTAACGCAAAACTTTTTTTTGGTACTTTCCTGGATTTCTTTCCTCTAGTTGGCTCCTCATACCGAGATTCACCACAGATAGAGCAACTTTCTTTATCTTTGTTAGTTTTGTAATATATCATGCATCCATTGGGGCATGCATCAATCTTCACATAAGGCATTCCTAGGCTATGCACAAACTTCTTAGACCTATAAAAGTTTTTAGGGACATCCTTGGCAGCCTCATCTCCAATAACTTCATGTAAAAGATTCATTATTTCATTGTAACCGGCTTCAGAAAGATTATATTGTGTTTTTATGGTCATAAGTCGTGCTACAATGGATAGGCGGGAGTGAGACGTCTTGTCATGCAGTGGTTTATCTACTTCCTCTAGCAGCTCATATAACTCCTTTGCTGCTTGAGTTGGCTCCTCACTCTGACGGACACCTTCGGCTCCAATAGCATCAAATAGCATTTCACTCATCCTATCTGAGCTACCTACATATTCATTGTCTGCTTGATCATTTACATCAGACTCCCCATGCCTAGTCCATCTCTCATACCCCAACTGGAAACCATTACGGCATAAATGCATCTCCATTTCATCCCTTTTCCTCTTGTGGCGACAATCACACTTAGTACATGGACACTTAGATCTCCCATCTTTAGCAGCTTCAGGTAATGAAAAGGCATGGTCCAGAAAGGTGTCCAAACCAGCTTTCCAAACTGGACTAAACAAGCTACCTTTCCGCTCATTGTACATCCAACTACGATCCTCACCCATGGAACGTACCTACCTAAATATTAGAATTCACACTTTAGGAAAAAAATAAAGTTACTTTCATATATGCATGGTTCAGATAGTGTCAAAGCAGTCAGCTTTCCACCCACACATAAATAATTGTAGTGCCACAAGAAAAATAATCCGCTGCACACAGAGAGGGATGGAGGGAGAGAGATGAATAGTAGAACGAGACCTTAAGTTCTCTGAGTTTGCGTTCACGCCAACACTCGTCACCCGCCCAATCTCCAGTCACCCACACCTTAGCACACCAGCACAGTAAAAGAGAAGATGATTGGAGCAGCAAAAAAATTAATCGAGAGAGAAAATATGTAGTAAGAAATAACCAGTATAGAAAATCAATTATCAATGATGCAAGACAAACACTACAATATAAGGATGATCACCTAACTCCTGAGATTTCCCTAATTGCT